ATTTCAAAGAGGGTACGATAAGACTCACAAGGTGAGATGAGCCTTTAAAGACAAATTTTGGAAAGGGTGGCATGAAAAAATTGATGGATGAACAAATATTAAAGAATAATGCCAAAGAAAGAGAAAGAGGTGAGACTTACTCTATTACAGTTGAACAAAAAGCAGTTAAGGCTTATTCCTTACCAACTATAGAAGTTATGATCAAAGGAGCTGAAGCTATAAGAAAAATGATTGGATGAAATAATCCAATTGATGTTATTAATATTAAAGCATATTTATGTGGAAAAAAATATAATGATGATCTGCATGATGCCATAATTGAGGAAAAAAGAGGCAGAACTATTCATGAGGAGGATGTTGAACTTAGAAGCAAGAAGAGATCTCCAAGTAATAAAGAAGCTTATGAAGGACAAAAGCTAGTTAAGGTGTCTTCTTTTGCTCATCCTGGAGATATATCAATACCAAAGGAATGGTGGGAGAAAGACAAAGAGAAAGAGAAGGATGACACATGGAAATCCAAAGTTGAAGCTATTATGGTGGAGGCATTGAATACTCACACAATAAAAGAAGAAAAAGAAGAAAAAAAAAGAAAAAGGAGAAATTGGCCAAGTATTTATTCTTAAATGTGATCCTATGATTAATAATGGCTACAAAAAGGAATAAGAAATTGGCTCTAATGAGGTTCAAGAAGAAGAGGTTGCAGAAATAGAAGAGTTTTTGAATGAAGAAATTGAAAATGAGATTTTATAAATATTTGCTAGAATAAATATGAATAATAAGGGAGATATTATGAATACAACATGTATCCAAAATCAAGGTGAATTTGAATATGGAGGAGCACAAGGCTTAAAAAAAGAAGCCCAAACCATCCAAATTCAAGAATGCATGGTTGAAGAAATATTAAATGAAAAGATTGTTCACAAGAATACAAAAGTACTTATTTATACTCTTAACTATAACTTTGAGTGTGATAAAGAAGGGAAGGTGGATTATTATCATTTATTTTGGACAAAAGTAAAGCTTGAAAAGCTTGAAGATATGATTTTAGGTTTGATTATTCATGACTCTAAGAAAAAAATCATGTCTAGGAGACTTTTTGATAGGAGAAAATGGTCTATTGATATCAAGCAAAAATAGATATTGAGAGTTTCAAATAATATGGAAGATATGAGAATAGAGATTTCTAATGGTATTTTAGACCACCAATATAATACATAGAAGAAATTTGCTTAAAGACAGTTTGAGTCATATATAGTTGCAACAATGCAACACAATGAAACACATATATTTTGAGAATTAGATGGTACAATATTAAAGATACTTATATTTGGAAAGTAGATCAAGACATTTAAGAGAAGAGATGGTAGATTTATTTCAAGTGATCTTCCAAATTTTAAAACATTAAATTTAGATCAAGTGGAAGATGGAAAAGAAATGGGCATAATGAAGCAAATAAATTTGGTCATATTGGCACATGCCGAAAGATGTGCAAGTTTGGAGGGGGTGGATGTCGTACTGTAAATGCTTACAGTATGTAAAAATTAGTTAAAACATAATATATATTAATAAATCTAGATGTGTATTAGAGTGGCTAGTAGATTAAACTAAAAGGAGTTGGTATAAGAAACTTTACTTTTTTTCTTTACTTATTTTGATTTTGACATTAAAAAAAATATATATAGGACCTAAATGTTTAGTATGAAGCCTTAGGAGAAGGTGGAAGCCTAAGGATGAAAATCTAAACTAGTAGGAGGCTAATTGGAAGGGATGAAAGCAAGGCATGGACAGATGAAGGCAAGGAATGGAGAACTTCATCCCTATTGGTCGAATACCATGTCCAATGGGCTTTGAGGAGGCTGTCCGCAACCTTAACAAGGATTTTGGCGAATTCAAAGAGGGCATTCGGAGATTAGAAGCTAGGGTTGTAAAGTTTAGGATTTGGGGTACAATTAGTATGTAAAAATTAGAGGATTTGGAATTAGGGTAAAGAAGTTATAGCCGTTTGAAGTTAAGGTATTAATTTAAGACATATTGTTACTCTTTTGAGGATACGAGGAGTTGTACAACAGCTTTTGAAGATTGGAAGGTGTGAATGGAATGGCGATTTTAAGACCTACATCTTTTATAAAAAATTATTACTTTTGAAGTTTATGTGAAGGAGTTATAAGGAGTTGAAAGCGGCGCTTCCAAATCAAAGGCAATAAGTGAGCGATTTTGTTTATAGTAATAGTTGGAGCCATAACTTGAGTTTTCAAACGAATTTTTTATTCAAAATTTTTGGAAAATTTAACATTTTGTGTTAAAAAGCTATACATACAAATTTTGTGGTATTTGAGCTTATATTTTGTGAGATATAAAGAAAATTGCATGCGGATGTATAAAGACAAGGATTTGAAGCGACTGTTAGGATTTTTAAGATATCTCAAGTTCCGCAATGAATTTGCAATTGAAATTTGTTGTAGAAGTTAATAAAAATACATTAGTATCTCATATAAAATTTGAGTTTGTTTGGACAATCGGATTAGGAGATATGAGCTGTTGAAGTTTGGAAAAATTTCCACATAAAGATATACAAGGTTTAAAGGATTTATCATATTTTGGGTGTTTTTGCTTACTTGAGGCTTGTGTATTTAGTGTAATTGCTCAAAAGGAAAAATTTATATATAAACTTAGGGCTTCCCTTATTTTGAAGCTTGATTGAACGATTAGTGATAGCCAAAAGCCCAGCGTTTTCTTGAGGCAAATTCTTTCTACTCTGACAATGCCTTTCTTGTTTTTGGTCTTATTTCTAGAGACTTTAGTTTTCTTGTTTTTAACAAAAAATATTCTAGTGTAATATTATACCATCTTTAAGTGATGATTTAGTCTTTTTGAATGACACAAAAGTGTATTGATCTTTAGTTCATTGAGATTCATTTCCTTGACATCCATTAACATCAAAAAAAGACATTGTATGCTTGAAAGGTTGCATTCTTTGTATACTATTGGAGAAAAATGTATTGCAACAAGATTTTTTATTTAGTTAGTAATAGTGGTAAGCTTACACAACAATCTTCTAAAAGATATATGAAATGAAGATTTTTTGTAAAAATTAATTAGTAATAAAATAAGATACTTACAATTTGACTAATACACACTAATGAATCATTATTATTGCCACATATTTGCTAATTAGATAGTATATGTAGAAAAAAGAGTGAAGTATTTTTCTCTCTTGTAAAGGTAAAGGTTTTTTTTTTTTTTTTTTTTTTTTTTTTTTTTTAATTCTTGTTTCAAGAATATCTAGTCATTTTATCTTTGGCAATAGCCATTTTAGTCTTAATATTATATCACCTTTGAGTGATTATTTATTTTTTCAAGTGACATAAGAATAAATTAATTCTTTGATTTTTTGTAATTTATGTCCTTGATACCAAATACATATAAAGATAATGTCTTCTTTAAGAGAAAAATAATTGTTAGTGATGATGGATTATGTGATGGTCTAAGCAATCGAAGTAATGGTAGAATTTAGAATTTTGAGCACAATATTTTAAGTCCATAGATTATTTAAGATGATTCTTTTGATGACACCAAATAAGATGGAGGCCTTAACTATGGAATAATATTGTGTGCTTAATAAAGCAACAAAATCAATCTTGACATTATTAAAAAATATAAATAACTTATTACTAAGACTTCTATAAATTCCTATGCTAAGAGAAGGTGGTAATATCTCCTTTGTACAAGTTCATATTTCAAATATTAAACTTTGATTTAGAAGTTAAAAGAAGAAGAAAAAATTAGATAATGAAGAAACATATGGTGGAAAGAATCTAATATTGCTAAGACCTAGTAGACTCAAAGTTCTATGACAAAGACAAAAAGTTGTTCAAAATAAAGCGTATATGAATGAGACTATTTAAATTGTGCAAAGAAGCATGTTTAGAGCATAGTAATCTACAGATATTCTTTATTGGAATTACCAAAATTGAGTAAAAAATTTGCTAATATACGATATTAAAAGAAGATAATATTATTATACTATATTAAAAATGATGCAATGTTGACCAAGATGTAGAATTGTTCTACAACGATTTAGATTTTTATTAGAGTGTAGATGCAAAATTTGGTGCTCCATATAAAGATTTGATTTGATAATATTTCATATGTTGTATTTAATATTCTATATAATAAAAGATTCATTTTTATTGTGGTTTTTACAATCACAATATTATGGTTATTATATATTTTTTTATTTTTAAATACTTGGATACATAAAGCTTGTAGAAAATATTATATGATTTTCAAAATAATAATACTAAAAAAATCATATAATATCTTACACCAAAATAATACTTTAGGAAAAAACTTAATTAAATGAGTTTAATTAATTTATTTTTATCAAAATATAGTAATAAAATTTTAAAATATTTTCAACATAGTATGTTTAAATTAAATTTTTATTAAAAATACAAAAAAAACTAAAATGTAGCCAATCTGTATTTTATTTTTTTATACAGAGAAAATATCCAATGATGAATCCTTGTTTATAAAATATGTGTTTGAGAAAAAAAATAATGAGTAAATTTTTTGAATTGCAAGAATTCTTTGTGGAAACAAAAGTATCATGCACATTGAGTGCTGTTGTGTATGAGAATAAAAAAGTTAATCTTTGAAGCAAGAGTGATGGTTGAAAATTGGGATTGAGAGGCAGCCCCTGAACAAACTGCAGCACCCATGTGAATGTTGATCAGTGCGGGTCCAATGAGGAATGGGTTCTGAGTTCCCGACCTGCCTCCCTCCTCCAACCTGCCCGCTCCATCGTTCCCCTACGTACCCTCCCTTCGTTCCCAGAAATCCGATCGGCGGTTAAGATTGAATCTGAGCGGCCGCTCCGATCCGACGGCCCACGACGGCGGAGCCAGGCGATTGAGTTGGGAGGTTTCTGCGACACAATCCTACGAGGCCCCACGCATGCTTCCGCATCAACGGAAATTCCTGAAAAGCTCCGATCGAGCATTGCACACACACTCTCAAACAAGCTCTTTCAGCTTCTCCGCTCACCAACCAGGCGGACGATCAATCTTAGCATCTCCGCTGCAAGATCTCGCAGCTGTTTACCAAGCTGGGAGATCGACCGTGTGACGCACCCACCACCGAATTTCTCTGAACCTGCAAGTGATGTCGGTTCCGAAGTACGTGAACATGACATGACATGAGTATCATTGCTCTAGGGTTTTGAGATTCCGCTACGCTGGGTCCCATGCTCTGATTCGTCGTCCATTGCTGGGTCTTCCTCCACCAGTATCACGACGTCGCCTGGACTGAATTTTGTGTCTCAGACTGCAGAGTCGGACGCCGGTTGTTGTTACGCTTCCTCTGCCGATTCTCTCCTCGTCGTTTCCTTTTATTCCTCTGGTGTCGTTCGGTACTCGTGTGTACGCTTATGTGTACAGCGGGGTTTGCGAGGCTGCATCCCTTTGAGACAGCGGTGTGGCGTTGGCAAAGAGGGTGCGGTATTGAGGGTGGAGGGAGACGTTCACCCGTTGAATTTGTTCAGTTTTCTCATCTTTCTTTCAGAGTTTTTTCTTTTTTCTTTTTATATTTCATTTCATTTTTTTTTTTTCTTTTTTTTTTTTCTTTTTTCTGTATTTTTAGTGTAACATTCTCATGTGGAGTTAAAAATGCTAGGCGCCACCAAAGGTTCTTTTAGACTTACATTTGAAAGTTAATAAGCTTTGCTCCCTTGTTGGGTTAATTTTGTGGGTTTCTGTTCCAACTCCTTCTCTCTGGTCTGGGTCGTGTAGAAATGCAGCTGGATATATGTTTCTTTTAGCCACGGGGATAAGACGGGAAGTCTTTAGTTTCGGTGCCGAGGAAATGCTTTACAGGATTGTGGCAGAACTTGGTGACAAGCTTTCTCGATAGAATTGTTGACTGGTGACACTATTACCCTCTCGCGTTTCTTCAGGTTTCAGATTCTGTGGGTACATTGACTTAGAAATAGCATGTCTAACATTCTGAGGATATGCTACTTAGATTGTTTTAGTGTCTGCGCTTGTAAATGTTTCCTTTTGACACCATGAAACGTTCTGAAGTTTCGGCCGCATCTTTTTCGTTGCTTTTACAGTCGAAACCTAAGACAATTTTCTAACATCTTGATCTTTGCCTCCTCTTTGCAGGATGAGCCGAATTCCTTCATACGGACAACGTAGAATGATGTTTTATCACAAGCGCCACTTGCTTGGAACAGGCTTCTTGGAAGTTTTAAAGGTTAGTATATGGTTATGTAAAGCATAGTGCACTGTGTATCTACGATATCAATGAGGGCTGTGCAAGAGTGCAGTTCACACAGTACATTGTAACAGCACGCTTTACATTGTTGTCTTGATTCGTCCAAGAGGATGAGTTCTTCTACATCCTCGTCGGACCAGTCGAGTTCTGATTCGGAAGACACAATAGTTCATCGTAGTCGACAGCGGAAAAGATTGGCACGAGAGCGATCTGAGTCAGACTGTGATTCTGACTCTGGTTGTGACTCTGACCATGTCACCTCTAGAACTCGTCTTAGAAAGACACGAAGGAGGACCGCGCAACATTCCAGAACCTCCGATGAGCCTGCTGAAGGTTAACTGTTACCAACCTTAGATTTCACTTTTTTAGACTGCTTCTTGTTGTGAGGATGATGAGTCTTCCCATGAAATTTGCCATTTGATTTCTAATGAGGAAAAGAACATCATCTCTTTTTGAGATTCTTTGAGTCTTAGCAGAAATTCTAATAGAAGAATATGGAACTTTGTTGCCGTAGTTGCTGCAGATAGACTTAGGACGAAGAAGAGAAACAATGCTAGAGTGACGGAGGCAGTATGGACACCAGCCAAGACGGTAAGGATAACTTACGATATCGGAATGAAACACGCATGCATGAACCCTGTGCATGGGAAAGCCATGACAACCTACACAGTGTTGCATCTTGTAAGCTGTCCATGGAAGAATAACGTGAGCATGATGACCGCCACTCCACCTACGAACAAGTCGAAGCTTTACCAGTACTGCCACAAATTGTGTGAGCCTTGCCTCAACAAGTATGGGCCACGGTGCTTTAAGTGCGACCCCCCGGAAACGGAGAAGACGCCCTTACTTAACACGGTGTTCGGAGAGGAAGCCATCACCAGCGTCAAGGATTTCCTGGATTCGGTCCAGAAATGGCAGCAACGTCGAGAAATTGCCGAAGTTCCTTTTCTTGTGCTACATTGCACCGTGCTTGGTAAGGAAGCGAGGTTGATACGCCAGAGGTTTGATTTGCGGAGGTGGACTGTGGTGCACATTGTTTACTCCGATGTGCGAGACAAGATGGAGCCAGGCGGGAGCGGCACGAACCTCGCGGATTCCAAGTTCAAAGATTCCTGGATCACGATCATGAAGGAGAAAGTATATATTCAGAATCAGCCTATGGTGTCATTCTTCGGCAACATTCTCTTGAATAACCTAACTTTTGAGGATTTTAAGGTGCACGACGTGATGGTGATGTACCAGCCGAAGATCTTCAATACCTTTGAAGCACGTGCGTTGAGGGCGGCCCTCAATTCCTTGTACACATACACCCCGACGTCCAATGCCGAAAATGAAGCAAGCGTCTCATCCTTCGGTAGCTGTCTACACGATGCAGTTGTGCACACGCAACGGACGCCGGTTACGAAAGAAGATCAATGCCTGTTTGAGAATGGCAACATCGTAGCAACCCAGTTCTACAAGAGCATTACGGAGTACTTCGGAGGGAAGATAGTTTCGGAGCTCGAGCAACGAGCTTGTCTTGGCCAGGACTTGAGAGTTGGAGATGAAGGCTTGAAGGTGCCCTTCCACTGCATGTACATTGCTAGAGGAGGTGAAGTGAAATTCCGGCGAGGCACCAATGCAACGCATGATGTCGCTCGACGAGCTGGAGATGCGCGCTCCCGGATATGCACGAGCGACACCTCCGCATACGAAATTGTGTGTTGGACATCATGTGGTGCACCCCAAGGGGGCGATTTCGTCATCCCCGGCTTGATGTACAAATTTCAAACTGATCAAGGCAGCGCCCTCATCTTTCGCCCGAAACGCTTCTTCCATGCCACGCTTCCGGCGGAGAATCGGGACTTAGGAAACGAAAAATATGCTGCAGCGTTTGTGACTCCAAAATGATATTTGATGCAGAATGCAACGCTCAAAACCCTTGTATACATCAACGGCCTCCACTTATCTGTATGTGTTGGACGGGTATTTTGAATGCTTTCAATGTCCACCAGTACATGCAATTGCTCAAGTTTGCCATTGTTCCAGATTTACCGAACCGAATTGGTTGTCCATGACCTCTTCGAATCATTACTCTCCGGAGTGATATTCATTCACTCACGCTTCACACAGTCGAGGCAGGTGCATACACAGCACTTCTTGAGATACTCGTACTCTTCGCTTGCGTTTCATTTGCCTGAGCAAGCTGTTGCCTATAATTCGTTTCAGCTCCAGTAGTGAGCGCCTCTTCGACTACAAGGCCCTTGCACATACTTCACAATTCACACAGGCAAATTCACCTGGGTATTCCAACATTTACTGGGAACGCTGGAGGTTGATGCACAGCTGCATCCATCCTAAGATTTGACTAGCAACTGGTGTTCTCAATGGTAAGGCACAGGATGTAACGATAGTTACTCAGTGGTGGCATCGTTGTCACCGTCTTGAAGAGGCCACCAAGGTAAATTATCTAAGCTCAAATTATTCCTGGCTACATTCCCAGCATGCACATTCTAGTAGCTTTACATACACTCTACTAACATAGCTGCACCTCCACATCGCACCGAGTATCCATCAAAATCACATTAAATAGAGCTTCAAAAACAAAACATAGAGCTCCCTGGATCACCGGGCAGGGTGTTATTTCCCATAAGGATCACACGTCATAGCACAACTATGCAAAAAATTATGCCAAATTGCACATATCAAGTCCCCATGCTAAAGTTTAATGAAACACAAGAATCAAAAATAAAATACACAAACCGGAGCATGAAACAACATCAAATCCCTACGTAACGACTATCCCACAAAATCTTCTAAACGTATAGATATACAATGTCAAGCACAAGTGCCTACAACAAACGCGCTTCATTTAAAAAACAACCAGTAACGTTCACGACACCCGAAACTTGAATGGACAACGAACCCAGTCTGGATGAGACGACCAATGGAAGGCAGGCGCAACGAGAGCCGGGCAGCAAGAACTTGGGCAGCACAATGCAGCCACCGCCGAGGACTGGCCTGACGAGCCTCTGACCGGGTCGGCAACGGGCAGCGGCCCGAAGGAAGGAACGAGCTCGCCTTGTGTGCTGCTCGAGGAACTGTCTGAGAGAGACAGAGCTAGGGCTTGGAGGAAGAGGGCAGGATCGACACCGTCGCTGGGAATTGCACGTCGTGCTGTTCTTGTTGTTGTCGTTGGTGGTGGTGGTGTCAAAGGAAGAGGAGGAGGACGACGAGGAGCAGCAGCAGCAGCTAGAAGTTCTTTAGCAGCGTTCGCCGGTTGTGGGGTGCGTGGACGTTTGAGCTTCGGAGCTCTTGGATCGGTGCACGATGAAGATCTCCGTGAAGACCCTCAAGGGGAACCACTTTGATCTGCAAGTCGCGGAGGATGAGCTGGTAAATACTCCTTCGCGGTGCCCGGTGCGCTGCTGCGTGCGGTTTTTAGGGTGGGGTGTGGAATCGTGGGAGCTAGTCGGGGGGGTGGCTTGTTTTTGTTGCGTCGTGGATGTGGGAGTCAGTGGGTGCGGTGGTCGGTGGTCGATGGTCGGGTTGGTTGGGTGCGTGGGATCGAGCGGAGCTTGAGTTGGGTGTTCTGGCGCATTTTATGTGTTTGTATGGTATTTTGGGTGTTGTGGCGCGTCCGATGGTGCCGCTGGGGTGGCACGTGGTGTTGGTATGTGGAGCTGAGTGTGCGAGGTGCTGGGGTGGCACGTGATGAGGCATTTGATTGGTGAATTGATCGTCGCGGTGTGGCGGTAGCATTGAGGTGAGGCAATTTGGGGTCGGGCGATGGTTAGCGGCATCCTCCCTGGTTGGCGAATTCTTTGGTAGATCGCAGGGGGTGTATCGGAGTGGATGCTGGTGTTGGATCGTGCATGGTTGTGGGCATTTGCGTGGTCCGACGGCGGTGCGTGGGTCCAATTTCTGGAGAGCAGGGGGGCAGGAACGTGTTGTGTTGATGTCGGTGCCGGATTGTGGGAGCGTGTGCGATGGGTGACGTCAGATAGTTGTGGGTCGCGCGCGATGTGAAGTGCGCGCAAGCATGGAAGACGTGGAGGGGTTGGTTGTGGCGATGAGGAATCTGCGCGTGGTATTTGAATGGTTATATTGGGCAGTGATGTACACTCCGGCAGGTGGGCCCGACTTGTGGGCTGTCGTCAAAGGTTGAGCAGCAGGACCTAGCGTCGGTGGAGGTCCGATGGAGTTGTGGTAGTGTGTCTGGGCCGTGCAACCACGCAGGTTGGTTGCGGAGGTGGGGAAGTGGGCATGTGTGTGGGGGCGGTCGCGATTGCGATGGCATGCAAAGTGGTTGACAGCGTGTGTTGTGCGCAGGTTAGTTCCGTGAAAAGGAAGATAGAGGGGTCCCAAGGGAAGGACGCTTTTCCATGCGCGCAGCAGCTGCTGATTCACCAGGGGAAGGTGCTGAAGGATGAGACGACCATGGCGGATAACAAGGTGGCAGAGAATGGTTTCCTGGTGGTGATGTTGACGAAGGTAGGGGTTGGGTGCCGGCGCGGGCTATGTGTGGGGTGGATGTGCAAGTTTGGCCGTGGCGTTGACAATGCGGAGTGGGGTGGGGGCGTTGCCAGGTGCTTGGGAGCACAGCTGCGTGTGTGGTCACACTGGCGGGGTTGGGGTGGGTTGCGTTGGTTGGGTGGAGGGTGTGATGGGTTAGGGATGGTGCGGTGCATGTGTGTTCGGTTCACTGAAGCGACAGTGCGTGTGTGTGTGTGTGTGGGGGCAGACGAAAGCAGCACCGGCATCGGGTGGTGCGCCCGCGTCGTCGTCGGGGTCCGCGCAGGTACTGACCAGTCGGGGCGGGGCGTGGTGAGAGGTGGTATTGATAGTGGAAT